CTATGGCATTACTGCATCCTCTTAAAAATAAGGAATGGGCTTGTAGTGCTTTCAGATCTTCTGATTTCATGGGTTGCCAGGAAAAAGCCTTTTCCATGTAAGCACTTGAAATCGTATATTGATTTCCAAAATGTTTCTGTAACAAATCCTTTGCCATTGTATAGCCACGCTCCGGAGCCATGTGCTGACAACTGCGTACCAACTCGCCTGGTTGTCCTCTTGTAAATTGCTCAAGATAATACAATCAGCTTTTCCTGTCTTTTTCTCCACTCCTTGTTCAAAGGCTTTTGTGAAGGCTCTGTATTGAAGAGGGTCACCTTCAAATATAGGAATATTCCTTGGCGGTAATGAGGTCAACTGTTGCTGCTGTAACAATGCCGCATGATATTTCATTTTGTCTATGCATGACATTCAGTATATTTTCAGAAACATCTTTATTGCTTTGTGGCTGATGTATTGGTTGAACAGTTAACAAAGGATGAGTCAAAAGTTGAGATGTTTCTGGAATATTGTCCTCTTCCTGGTGACGATGCAGATAATTTGAGGAATCCTCAATCCATTGCCTTGTTTTTGTAGGTTGCACATCTTTTAATAGCTGCCTTGCACTTGTTTGAGTTGTTTTCAATGCTCCAGGTTGATATTCCTTTGATATTCCATTTAAAACATCATGAACCTTTTTCCCTTTTTCTTTTCAAAATAAGAGTTCATGCCTTTGCTCGATCCTTGTGAAGAACCTTTTCTTCCTGAAGTTTGCAACACAGCCAGTTTTGCATCAAATGCAGCAATTTCTGTTTCCAGTTCCAGCTGTTCCTTTTTCCTCTTCAACATCAATTCTTCCTCCTCCAATGCATGTTTTTTCTTTAATTCTGCAGCACGAGCCAGAAGTGCTGCTTTGTCTGCCTGAGCCATGACAGCTGCCACTGATGTGCTGCTGGATTTATTACTTCAACCACTTTTGTGACTTGAATGTTTACTGATATTTGAAACACTGTCATTCATCAACAACCTTGTCATTTTTATCACCATCATCATTTGAAACCCACACCTTAGTGTTCTCAACACACTCATCAATAGGAAGCATTTTTGCTTTAAACCATATTTCATGTTTTTCTTTTTCATCAACCGGCAATAAACCCATCAAATCATTACGCAAACCTTTTACCTTAACACACAGTGCAAGCATGTCTTCCAAAGCATTTTTTACCATAAATTTTTCATTTTTCTGCATCAAACTTTGTATTGATTTTATTAATACTGCTGCTTTATTTAATATTGCTTTTCTACCTGATTGCAGCCTGTCTAACTCATTAACAAGTGCCTTTTCAGTTAGCTTTACCACTCTTTTTACCACTACCGTTTTAGCACTGTCCGACAGGCTACTTGATTTATTAATAGATTGCACGTTAGTCCAGGGATTCATTATATCTGACTTTGTTCCCTCAGTTTCCATGACAACCACCCCAGGCTCGCAGCTAAGATGAAAACTTGTACAAAGTTGTAGCTCCCTTCGTTCGGTTACCAATGCATTGGATTTTAGTTTTTATTTTGTGTGCACACAATTTAAATGGCCATGCTCAGCGTAGCGCTACGCATACCTCTTTGATGGGCGCCGTGACGACTTGAAAGCCGCGGTGATCCTCAGCTTGATCCGACGACTTGATTTCCTCCTCCAAACAAACAGGAAATGCCCTTCAGACCCGCAGGGATCCAACGCACATCCAGTTGCTCCACTTGTCACGCAGCTCCCCTTCGACCAGCGACAACAGCGTCCAACGACGTCCACTCATCCCCACGGCAGGTTTTTGACTAAATTGTAGAAGTCAAGTCCATTACTCAAACTTCTGAGGCTGTTAGACCGGGACCTGGTTGACGCTCTGTGTTGATCCGATGTTGACTAATTAAATTACTATTTGCTTAAAAAACAGCCTTAAGCGTGGAATTGTTATGATAATGCTTCTTGTTTAATGTTGATTGCATTCCAGGTGAAACAATAATAGGAGTAATTCGCTTACTTTCCCATTCAAACATCTTCACGCCACAGCGGTCAAAAACCTGTTTGACCTTCCGGAATAGTGCCTGACGCCAACAATGACATCACTACCTTTATTCCGACCAGTAATAATGACACGCCCACATATCAATTAAAACATCAAGACCAAAGAAAAGGAAACAACATATTTGGCTCCTACATGTTGTATCCAAGAGTCGTAGGCCCCCACAGAATACACATGACTGGTCGAAGAGAACCTTCCTGGGTCGCTTCTGGCGGACTGTTTCACATCTTATGAGTCGTTTAGTTTTGTAGTCCTATCACTTAGTGACTGTCGGCCACTGGACTCACTCTGTCAGTGCCTAGAACAAGTAAACGGCTGGATGCAGTCAAACTTCCTTCTGCTAAACAAAGACAAGACTGAAGTTATTGTCTTTGGCAACAAGAGGGATAGAATGGATGTTATTGCTCAGCTAGACTCCAGGGGAATAAAGACAAAGACCCAGGTTAGAAATCTTGGTGTTATTATTGACGCCGACCTGAGCTTCTCTGGACATATTAAGGCTTTAACTAAATCAGCGTTTTAACACCTTCATCAGATAACAAGAGTCAGAGGTCTCATGTCCAGACCACACTTGGAGAAACTTATTCATGCTTTTATTTCTAGTCGACTGGATTACTGCAATGGTCTCCTCACTGGTCTTCCCAAAAAAGCTGTGAAGCAACTGCAGATTGTTCAGAATGCTGCTGCTAGGGTCTTAACAAGAACTAAGAGAACGGAGCTCATCACTCCTGTTCTTAGATCTCTACACTGGTTACCAGTAAACTACAGAATAGATTTCAAAGTGCTCCTACTAGATTATAAATCACTCAATGGCATGGGATCAAAATACATGTCTGATCTCATTCCAGTATATACACCTAATAGGGCTCTCAGATCCCTTGGAAACAATCAGCTGGTAGAGCCACAGGTCAGAACAAAACATGGTGGAGATGCTTTTAGCTACAATGCTACTCACATATGGAATCAACTCCCCCATGACCTCAGATCTGCCCCAACCCTAGTGTTGTTCATAACAAAACTAAAAACCCTAATGCACTCATCAGCCTTTGAATGAATTGTTTCTTATGCTGCATCATCTCCACTGTAATCTGTGATGTAATTACTCAACCTTAATTCTGTCTTTTCCTTTTAGCTCTAAATTATAATTCTATCTGTGTATATTTTTAATTTGTGTTCTCCTGTTTATTGTCGTGCCATTTCATGCTAATTGTAAAGCACATTGAATTGCCCCTGTGTCTGAAATATGCTTCATATATAAAGCTGCCTTGCTGTATATCTGCATTTGGTGTTAATGTAATCCTGCAGCGAGTTAGTGGGGTTGGGAACTTTTACAAGCTCATGCTTTTTCCATCCGTTTTCAAATACATTCAAATAAATTGAAATATATTCAAACTTATGAGAGGGTCTGGAGAAACTCAGCTATATCAGCTTGGTTGATGTTGCCTCAGCTGCCAGACAAAACAAAATAACGATGTAAAATAGCATGAAATATTATTCAGATTTGTTTTCTGTTGTTTAGGTTAAATTTTCTATCTGTGTTTTCCTAAAGTGTGTAATGTATGACTCTGCTGAGCACAATTGTCACCAAAATCACAATCAAGTTCATCATTCTCCCTGTTGGAAGATTGAGATAAATCAGCAGAATTTTAACAAACAGCAGTCATAAATACCACTCTTCAGAGCACGTGTCAGACACAAGGCCCGCGGGCCAGATGCGGCCCGCGGAGCATTTTTATGTGGCCCGCGAGATAAATATCAAAAATATATTAAAACTGGCCCGCTGGCCGATTTTACCGCAAAGACTTCAACTCCCATGATGCTTTGCGGCGTTAGCGCGGAGCCGACTCGCCCCCTCTTTTGTGTTTTTTCCAGCGCCTGCTGCCGGTGTCTGCAGCTCCGCTGTCTCGGACAAACTACACTCCTCTCACTCAGCACCGAGTTCACTCAGCTATTTTCTGACGCTGAAGCCCAGAAACGGAGATTCTAGTCGCTCAGTAATGTGTTCACGACTGAAAGAGAAAGTTTTCCAACTAACGTCCAGACAGAGCTGATATAACTCCAGCGAGCAGCGACACGCTCAAACCAGCATGACTCTGTGGTTGCTGTAGTTTTTCCTCCCCGACACACAACAACGTGGTCAAGCTGCTCAGACATGTTCAGCAGCACAAACCTATGTGAGCACCTGTTGTCATCTAATGTTGTCATTATTATGATGAAGATGAACAAAACAACAGGAGTCTCCTCCTCAGCTCAGATCAACCCCATGATGCAGGTATCTGGCTGGAACAGGTGAGCATCACAGTAAACCAGTGGAGCAAACTGAGCTTTCAATATGCTGGTTTTATGCTCTTTTTCTGCTCCAAAACATGAAAGTTAACAGGTGAGATGTTGCATTTTCATTTAAGATAAAATGTTATTTTTATTTAGTTGTTGGCCCGTGAGCAAAGATTTAACCTACAGTAAACAGGAAATGGAAAGGCTGCAGATAGATGAATAGAATAGAAAAGCCCTTTATTGTTCCTCAGTGGGGAAAGCTAGACGTCACAGCAGCGATGACACGTATTACAGGAGAAAAAAGGAGAATAAAAAATAAGAAAAATGAATAAACAAGAAAACATAAATCCTGAATAGATTTTAAAAATGCTGATTATACCACAAGTAATGAATGCCACTGATGCCTTTTATTTCAAACTGACTTGCTCGTGTGTAATTTGGTTATTCCACATTCAGTGTTAATGCAGAAATATGTTTGTTTCCAAATTTAAAGGTTCAAAATTGCATACATGTTAATAAAGAAAATGTGCAAATTTGCCGTCACTTTTTCAAAAAATATTAAGTTTGGCCCTCGACTCCGTCCCAGAGTTTAATTTTGGCCCCGTGTGAGTTTGAGTTTGACACCCCTGCTTCAGAGTGAAGGTCATTGGTTGGGCTGAGGACACACCTTAGTGAAATATACTCCTACCACGAAAATAGCAAAAGTGAAAGCAAGGATCATTTGTATTCAGGAACAGCAACAAGACATGGCAAGGTAAGTAAGCATGTGAAACTAAATTTGAGATAAACTGAGCCTCAAAGTCTTTATGAATTGGGATAAATTATGTTTCTAACACCTATGGGATACAACAAGAAAAATGTCCTGCCAGAATATATGTAGAGATGTGTCAGGTTAGATACAAACAGCGTGTTTCCTGTAATCAGCTCCTTCCAAAGGGCATTGTTTTAGATTTGGTTTTATCGTCACTGATAGACATAATTATATTTTGAAAACTGATAGAACAGGGCAGGAAATGTTAAAATAATGTAGAAAGGAACGTGAATGTGTTAAAAGGTGACTTAGAAAAAATTGTGAATTTATAAGTAGAATATTTTTCATAAGGGTCGGGAGGACAGAGCGTCAAAGTAAAAGTGAAAGAAAGAGAAGTGATGATGATAGTTGTTTCATCAAAGCCCACTATTGAAATTAAACGTTCTGAAGCCTCTCAGACCACAAACACACAGAAAGAAAATCTTTTTGCTTAATCTATTTTCGTTTTTGATCTTTTATTGTTCTGTTGTGTCTGGCATGTCATATCTGCTACTGTTTATTTTCACGTGGTTTTATATGTTGGGTTAGGCACATTGGGTCATCCATTATTGGCTGTATAAAAGCACATATTGAAAAAAGGTGGCGATGACGACAATGAAACCCTTTTTAAAAATTGTGTTATTTTAATAAAGAAATTGTTCTGTGTCAGAAATAAATTGCAGGAGGCATTGTGCAAATACATCTCAGATACCTTCAGCCTCATCAGCACAGTGAGGGGATTCTGTGAGTCATCTTCTAAATGGTTGGATGAAAGGAAGACAGCAGTAAAAAACATTCAGAGCAAAAATAATGTGGATGGAGTGTTGAAAGAAACTTTGAGAGGTCTGGAGAAGCTGGAAGACTTCCTGGATGCTGTGGAGAAGCTTGCAGTCACTTCCAAACACGTGTTCATGAATGGGAGAAAGAGACTACAACTGCCCAAGGATATCAGTCATGTTCAGACTGTGATCATGGCCTCACAATGTGTCGGTCCTCTACTCCTGGTGTTCAAAAGAGATGCAAACATGTTCTTTCTTCCAAAAGAGCAGAATGTAGAAGTGCTGGCCAATCAGCTGGACAAATACATTCAGACCACTCAGAAAATCTGTCAGCAGTTTCAGGAGAGGTAAAGTCACAAAACGTTAAAAGCACCTCCCATAACTACATTTGTTTCCTGTAGGAATTAAATCCCTATTGTGTCTTTAACAGCCACATCAGTGACCTTACGATGAACAAAGACACCAAGGTCCATGTGGATGTCAGGTTTTCTGAACATGACCTACTAACGATGCTAGATCACATTAACCAGCTTGATGAAATCAGGTAAGAATCTCCTGCTGACAGGGGTAGTTCTAGGAAATGACCTTTGAAGGTCTAAGCCCCCACACAGTGAAAAACAGAGTGTTCATATTGCAGAGTCAATTTTATTAACCTAACAAATTTATAACTAATTAAAGAGTAAACCAGCTCAAAGGCCGAGTTAAAAGTCAGTGTTAAACTCTGCAGACATGCAGTGTTCATTTCTACTTTACAGGAAGTCTACTTAATTTATTTGCCTATTTCAGTGATAATTTAATCCAAAGTCAAAATCCATCTGTCCATCCATGCCCTTCTGCTTATCCAGGGTCGGGGCAGCAGGCTAAGCAGAGAAGCCCTAGCCTGACCAAGCATGCCAATGCTTCCTTACGGGAAACATTGGCATAGTAACGCTCCCATTCAAATAACCCCACCCCTGAGAATGCTAACCAAGCCAATCAGCGCTGAGCAGCATGTCACACACCGCAACATTCAGTTTCTAATAAACAGCAAAGAACGCATCTGAAGCTGAGTTCGCTGCGGCTCTTTCTTCTGTTCTAAATGACTTGGAGATGTATTTATAACAACAAGAAGGAGCGCTAAAAGCCTTTCTTCTAAACAAAGATGTTTATGACGTTGCCATCTTTGACTTCAGCTTAAAAACCACTGCGTCACGCGATACAGTCATCACTTCTGCCTTTTTTCTGATTGGATATTTTTGAGCTGGCTAGTCTCACCCCTCATGGTGCTCTCTGCCTCTGAGTACCTCAATTTGACTTCTGTGTAGAATAGACAGAGGGCAAGTCTGGCAGTCTGGTCTAGAGAGGCCCAGACTTCCCTCTCCCCAGCCACTTGGGCCAGCTCCTCCGGGGAAATCTCAAGACGCTCCCTGGCCAGCCAAGAAAAATAGTCCCTCCAATGTGTCCTCAGTCTTCCATTAGGTCACCTCCCAGTTGGGCATGCCCAGAAAACCTCACCAGGGAGGCGTCCAGGAGGTATCCTAACAAGCTAACTTGACTGGCTCCTCTTGATGTGGAGGAACAGCGGGTCTACTTGGAGCCCCTCTTGGATGACTGCGCTTCTCACCCTATCTCTAAGGGAGAGCCAAGCCACCCAGCAGAGAAAACTTATTTCGGCCACTTGTATCCATGATCTCATTCTTTTGGTCACTACCCAAAGCGCGTGACCATAGGTGAGGGTAGGAAACGTAGATCGACTGTTAAATCGAGAGCTTTGCCTTCCGGCTCAGCTCTCTGTTGACAGATCGATACAACGCCCACAGGAAAACTTTAGTTGTCACTTTTAAAATAAAAGCTGATTACAAAGTAAATGTGCCTTGGTTACTTACAGCTACTTATGCCAGTTTGCAGCTTTTTGTTTAGTTTGAAGGGTGCTGAGACGCCTCTAGAAACAGCCTCAAATAGCCACTGCTTGCTGTGCTTCACAATTTTATCATTTAAATGTTTTTATTTGGAACTGTTTGTTTCTAAATCTATTTTAAAAAGTTTAGATTGCCTACAAAATATCTCATCCTCAATTTTTTTTTTTTTTTTACCAGGGAGAACGAGCACTTCCGTATGCTGTTCTTGTTTCAGGAAATTTCCTATGATGACTTCATGATGGAGTTTAAGGAGCGACAACCAAGGATGCTGCAGTCTCTAAACGATCTAGAGGAGTGTGCTGTTCAGTTAGACAGAATGAACACAGGGTCAAAGATCTCCAGCATAGCAGGAAGTTCAGTGGGAGCAGTGGGCGGTGCTTTGTCAATTGCTGGGTTGGCATTGATGCCATTCACAGCAGGATTGTCCCTGGGTCTGACTATCGGAGGGAAAGCGATGGGAATCACTAGTGGGGTAAATAATGCTGTCACCACATTCACAGGGATAGGAGTTAATAGAAAATATGAAACCAAAGCCAAGGAAGTCCTTGAAAGTTTGATGACAGAAATGACGAGTCTCCAGACATGTCTGGAGCAGGTGATCTTCCAGCCAGTAAACAACATAGAAGGCAGGCATATCGAGTCTTTGTGCACAGGATCTTCTAAGGTTGTTTCTGTTGGAAAAAGTGTTCATTCCCTGGCCAAAGATGTTTCTGATCTTAGATTGATAAAAAACAAAGATGTGATTGTAAGAGCTGGTGGGTGTGCAGGTGGCAGTACACGTTTGGCCTCCGAGACCCCAGATGTTGGCCAGGCAGCACTAAAAGGGACTCTAACCACTGCCAAGAGTATGAGAGTCGGTTTGATTGCCCTCAATTCTCTCTTCATTGGCATGGATATCTTCTACATCTGTAAAGAGAGCATTGATCTGGCTAAAGGCAGCAAGACCGAGGTTTCAAAGTTTATCAGAGCCAGAGCAGCTCTGTGGAGCTCAGAGATAGATTCATGGAAGAAGATCTATGACTCTCTGTGTCTGGCTCAAAGGGAATCAAAAAAGAAGAAAGCTGTCTTGGACAAACCATTTTATGTGAAGAACAAAATGTGTTTTCTCTTGTAAGACCCAGTGAGCAGATGGCAAACTGATAAGATGCCTAGATTGTGGAAAATAACATGATTAACAAAAGCTTTCTTTTTTTAATCATAGTAAATAAACTTAAGGTCAGAATAATAACTAAATGCCACAAGTCAATTAAAGGGATTTTTTACCCATTCTTTATTTGCAATGGACAAGTCTATATTTTGAGAATTGAACTAACAGAAAAATGTACTAAACTGAAAAGAATTACAAATCAAAGCTTACATCATCCTATAAAATTTTTCTAAACTTACATTTAAACCTCTTGTAACCTCAAATACATGTTGTCACCAGTGGATGATTAAACTATTTAAGTCAAAATGCTGTCATTTTAAACTAAACACAGCATTTGTCCCTTTCGAGTTCATGCAGCTTATGCACTCAATGCTAAGGCTACGTAAATGCGACAGCTCCCTGATCATTTATGTTTCCTCTGGCATGATGGGAAAAAGATCAGATTTACTGTTTGAGCATGTGTGGCTGTCACTGTGCTATGGCGTCGGAGCAAAGATGTGGAGAAATCTTGGGCACCTCCTCTCTTATAAACAAGGGCACCCACAGATGAAGACAGCATCTCCACTGATGAAAAGGATTACCAGCCAGTGCATGACTCCTCTTCCTCAAGGGGTGAGGATCAGGCAGATGGTGGTCAAGATCAATCAGGTGAAGGCAGAGACTGTAGGAGATAGTGTCTGCCTCCTGATGCGAAGATTAGGTGGGTTCTGAAGACCACCATCTAATATGCCTTGGGATTCCCCCGGAGGAGGTGGCCCAAGTGGCTGGGGAGAGGGAAGTCTGGGCCACTAGGCTTAGGCTGCTGCCCCAGAGTGACCCAATCCGGATAAGCAGATCATAATGGATGGATTTTTATACCTACCTTTTCTTTTTTTGTATATCTTGTTTTTCTTTTATCTGTGTGCCAAATGCACCATTTGAGAGCCTTCCAATTTTATCGCAACCTCACGCAGAGGCAATAAAAGCTTTCTGATTCTGAGAAAAGTGATTATTTTTCCTTTGTCATGTTCTGTATAACCAAATAAGACATTATTTTACCATAAGGAAGAATGCAGGTAAAGGCAGTTTGCATTGTTAATAACAAGTTTTTGAAGATAGTGGTTCATAGAAAAAAAAACAGGGGAGATGAGATGCGCATATGTGACGGCTTCTTCTTGTCCGTCCAGGGTTATTGGAGTTTTTCTTTTTTTGTTGCCTCAAATCACCGCACACATACAATCAGGCCACAGACACAGGACTGCCCTTCAGAGCTTTTTACTGGCAGGATCTGATGTAAAAACAAGCACACAATAATTCATCAGTGTGTGCGCGCTGCAACTGCATACAACGGTCTCCACCAGCGTTCATTACTGCTTTTCTCTTTTTTTCCATCATGTGATCGTATAGTGACATTTAATAACAACAGCAATATATTAATTTACCAACTTGCATTTCAGAGCAACACATACTTTCTTTTGATAAATCATATAAAATTGTTAATAGTACCAACAATGACAGCGCAGCCACCAACAGTTGAAACAGTTAACTGCCATCAGTAGGTATAATAGTCAACCGCCACCGGCAGTTGAAACAATAAAACATTTACAAATCATATTTTTACCAAACACATCTGAACCTACCTGATGTAAAAACAAGCACACAATAAGTAATTCATCAGTGTGAGTGCACTGCAACTGCATACAACGGTCTGTTCAAGGCAAAAAGAAAAACCCAAACATTACTAAAAGGACTGAAAATCTAGCTTCCATTAGCGTGAATCTCGTCTATAAAGTTATTAATTCAATGCAAACACAGCTAACCTTTTTCAAAATATGCTCTAACAACACTTAAATATCTGTAACAAGTCCTATTGATATATTAACTAAAGGTTAAAATGACTAAGTGCAGAGCGGCTTCACAGTACACCTGCTGCAGGTACCAGCTTTCATTACTGCTTTGGTGGGAGGGGCCATGAATGCGCCTGAAGGACTCGTTGCATGCAGTTACGCCTAACCACCAGTAGGCGGCTTCAAAAACAAACAATCACTGCACATCACTTTTGGTGAAATTCACATTTTCATCTCTGTTACACATGTGATGACGACCGATCGCCGGACACAGCAGCTTGAAGCTGATGGCAGCTCGTTAACAAACATCCACAAACAATTAAGACGCATTTTCGCCCAACTTATTTGCTGGCAATGCAAATAAATTATCTGGTAAGTATAACTCACTCAACCTGGAGATAAGTGGAGAAAATTTTGAAAGTTTACAAAACTATATTGATGAAGATTCTGAGTTTTTTGTTATGGGTCCGAAGAAATCGGCAGCTGACACAGAAACACCTGGGACCAAGAGGAGCCATCCTCAGGACTCACCTGAGGCCTCATCTCCCCGTAAGGACATATTAGAGTTATAAGATTCTATAGATAAATGGCTTCTGGGATTTGAGGGACGACTCCTTCTGCTTGAGGTTCTACATCAGGAGTTCCTGAACCTCCATCAGTCTCTGGAATTCAGCCAGGAGCAGGTGGAGCGGCTCACTGCTGAGAGTCAGTTTCTTCCCTAGAAGAGGGAGTAAGCGGATCACCCAGGACAACAAGATTCTCAAAGAGACGGTTTTGGACCTTCTAGCCCGTAGCATGAGGGATAATTTGGTGTTTGCAGGGCTGCCGGAGCAGACAGGAGGGGCGGAGAACTGTGAGCAAACAATCAAGAACTTTCTCCAGACCCAAATCAAGACACCCAAAGAAACGGTACAAAAAATCACATTTCACCAGGTGCATCGCCTTGGAGCTAAATGAGTGGACAGCAGAAGTTTTCGTCTCATCGTGGCTAAATCTGAACATTTTAAACAGAAGGATCTTGTTAAAAGCTACAGAAGAGAGCTCAAAGGAAAATACATCAGCGTGAATGACCAGTTTCCTAAGGAAATCCTGGATCGGCGCCGAGTCCTCGTCCCGCTGATCGGCTAGGGTCAGGAGCTGAGCTTGTTGAGAGCGGGGTTTCACAGACGCGGAAGTGAGAGCGCCGGTGAAATGCCGGCTCGCGATTTAATCTATGAATCCCCGAGCGTTCGAGCGTCAATGAAGTGACACAGAAGTGCTGGGTTTTCCAGAAGTAAGTAAGAACACTTACTGTGAGCAGAGAGTTCGTGAGATGGATCGGTAGATTGGTAACTCTGATCATGGATACGAAGAAACGATGACTGAGTGATGAGCTGAGGAGGCGACTTACGTTTATAGTTGCGGTTCATGATGTAGGTGTGACGTGGAGGGAATCCCTGCGAGAGGCATGCTGGGAATTGTGGTCCGTGGTGGAGGCCGGCTAGCTGGGAGAGGCTGGTTTGGGGACTTAAGTTCTGACAGGAACCCCCCCCCCCCCCCCCCCCCCCCCCATCCAGGGACGGCTCCTGAAGTCCCAGGGCGGCCCAGGTGGTCCCAGAAGTCAGTGATAAGGGCCGGGTCCAGGATGGAGCGGGCCGGTTCCCAGGAGCGTTCCTCGGGGCCGTAGTCCGCCCAGTCCACAAGATACTGCCATCCCGACCCCTGCGACTGGCGTCCAGGATGTGCCGGATGGTATAGATGGGCTCACCATCGAGGAAGCGGGCAGGCGGAGGCGGCGGAGCCGGAGGTGGAAGCAGGGAGGATTCTACATAGGGCTTGAGTCGGGAGACGTGGAAGGTGGGATGGATGCGGAGAGTTGCCGGTAACCGCAGCAGGTACGAGACTGGGTTGATGACTTTCTGTAACGTGTAAGGCCCGAGGATCCGGGGAGCGAGCTTTTTGGATCCAGCACGGAAACGGAGGTCCACGGTGGACACCCAGACCTTATCCCCAGGGACATAGGAGGGACCAGGACGGTGTCGGCAGAGATGTTGGCGAGCACAACGGGCGTTGGCTCGGGTGATAGTAGCTAGTGCTTTGATCCAGGTGTTCTTGCAGCGCCTCACCAGGGATTGCGCGGCAGGCACAACCACTTCGGGCTCCTGGTGGGTGAAAACCGGTGGCTGGTAGCCATAGCAGACCTCGAAAGGGGACATCTGAGTGGTTGAAGAGGTGTGAAGATTGTGGGACAGCTCTGCCCAGAGGAGGTATTTAGGCCATTGCGAAGGTTGGGCTGAGACAAAGCACCGGAGGTACCGACCCAGCTGTTGGTTCGCCCACTCCATCTGACCATTGGTCTGCGGGTGATAGCCTGAGGATACGCTGACCGATGCTCCCATGAGGTGGCAAAAGGCCTTCCAGAATCGGGCCGTAAACTGTGGACCCTGGTCGGAGACCACAACGACAGGGAAGCCGTGTAGGCGCACCATGTTCTCCAGGAATAGTTCCGTCGTGCGTCGGGCCGAAGGGAGACCTGAAAGGGCGATGAAGTGGACCGCTTTAGAAAACCGGTCAGTGACCGTGAGGACCGTGTCAAGGTTGTTAACTGGTGGGAGTCCTGTCACGAAATCCAGACCCACGTGGGACCACGGACGGCTGGGCACCGGAAGAGGTCTGAGGACACTAACAGAGGCCTGGCTGGGTGTCTTGGAGCGGGCGCAGATGTCACAGGCGCTGGTGTATTCCTTTACATCCTTCACCATGCAAGGCCACCAGAGAGCTCGTTGGAGGAACTTAAGAGTTCGAGAGAACCCAGCGTGGCCAGACAGGCGTGACGAATGGGCCCAGGAGAGCGCCTCGCTGCGACAGGACGTAGGGACATAGACGACCCACGGGGGTCTCCGGAGGTGCGGAGTCGTCCCAGAGGGCGTTCTGGATAGCCTCCTCCAACGGCCACCTGAGGTGGGCCAGGAAACGGTGCTCTGGGAGAATTGGTGCTGGCTCGGACGTGAGCGTGGAGTCTTTGAACTGGCAGGAGAGGGCATATGCCTTCTGGTTTTTAGTTCCAGGGCGGTAGGCGAGATGGAACTCATAGGGCTCGAAGAAGAGGGCCCAGCGGGCCTGGCGAGGATTGAGCTGCTTGGCGGATCGGGTATGAGTCAGGTTCTGGTGGTCCGTCCAGATAGTGAAAGGCTGGGTGGTGCCTAGAAGCCATTGTCTCCACTCTTCCAGCGCCCATTTTATGGCCAGCAGTTTGCGATCACCCACGCCGTACTTCTGCTGGGTGGTGGAAAACTTCCTAGAGAAGTAGGCGCAGGGATGGAGCCTGTCATCGGGCCCGCCTTGGGACATGATGGAACCGGCACCGACGTCCGAGGCATCGACCTCGACCACAAAAGGCTCCGTAGGATCTGGATGGCGGAGGATAGGGGCCGACGTGAACTGGGTGACCAGGTAATGGAAGGCCCAAAATGGCGTCTGGATTTAGACGGAACGGTTGGCCGGGTGGGCTTGGTCGGGTGAGGGAGGTGAGAGGTGCCACAATGGCGCTGAAGTTCTTGATGAAGCGGCGGTAAAAGTTGCAGAAGCCCAGAAAACTCTGCAGCTGTTTCAGGCTTGTAGGAAGAGGCCAGTCAGCGACCGCCTGGACCTTCTGAGGGTCCATGGTTATGCCCTGATCAGAAATCGTGAAGCCCAGGAATGAGATGGTCCGCTGGTGGAAAGAGCATTTCTCGGGCTTGCAGTACAGGTTGGTGTTAAGGAGCCAGGTGAGGACAGCACAAACATGGTGGAGGTGTTCGGCCTCAGTTTTGAAATAAATTAGGATGTCATCCAGGTAGGCAAACACCCACCGGCCCAGCATATCGCGGAGGACATCATTAATGAGGCGTTGGAACACGGCGGGCTATTGCACAGCCCGAAGGGCATGACCAGGTACTCCCAATGACCGGTGGGTGTGAGGAATGCGGTCTTCCACTCCTCCCCGACTTTGATGCGGACCAGATTGTAGGCGCTCCGGAGGTCCAGTTTTGTGAATATCCGCGCCTGGGAGATGGAGTCCAGAGCGGTCGTGAGGAGTGGCAGGGTATGGCGGTCCCTGATGGTGATCTTGTTCGGACCCCGATAATCTATACAGGGACGAAGGTCACCTTCCTTCTTTTTCACAAAGAAG